CTAAGGATGAGTTAGTAAGTAAAATTCGACACTGTTTAGATAATGATGATATCGTCTACATCCATACCCCTATGTTGATGACGTCCATGAAGTTCCGTCTCTGTTGGAGAGAGAGGGGAAAACATCAGTGAAATATTGGCGAAACATCAAACACACACACACACACACACACACACACACACACACACATACACACACACACACCGATACCTCAGTAAGGATTCGTTCAAGACTCTGTATACCATTTACGTCAGGCCCATACTGGAGTATGCAGCACCAGTTTGGAACCCACACTTGGTCAAGCACGTCAAGAAATTAGAGAAAGTGCAAAGGTTTGCAACAAGACTAGTCCCAGAGCTACGGGGATTGCCCTACGAAGAAAGGTTGAGGGAAATCGGCCTGACGACACTAGAGGACAGGAGGGTCAGGGGAGACATGATAACGACATATAAAATACTGCGCGGAATAGACAAGGTGGACAAAGACGGGATGTTCCAGAGATGGGACACAGAAACAAGGGGTCACAATTGGAAGTTGAAGACTCAGATGAATCAAAGGGATTTTAGGAAGTATTTCTTCAGTCATAGAGTTGTCAGGCCGTGGAATAGCCTAGAAAGTGACGTAGTGGAGGCGGGAACCATACATAGTTTTAAGGCGAGGTATGATAAAGCTCATGGGGCAGGGAGAGAGAGGACCTAGTAGCAATCAGCGAAGAGGCGGGGCCAGGAGCTGTGACTCGACCCCTGCAACCACAAATAGGTGAGTACAAATAGGTGAGTACACACTCAAGACTGAGCATAGAGTGTAGCACGGTACGACATCTGAATCACTACCCAGGCCTCATGTGGCTAGATTTCACTGCCAGAAGAAACTGAAGTGGAACCAGGATGTCATGAGTGCCGCCACAACGCCCTGTGGCCTGGTGGCAAAAGCTCTTGCTACACACGGTGAGGGTCCGGGTTCGATTCCCGGCGAAGGGATGGAAACATTGGACGTGTTTCCTTAAACCGGTTGTCTATGTTCACCCATCAACAAAATGTACCTGGGTGTTAGTAGACTGGTGTGGGTCGCATCCTGGGACAAAACTAACCTATACTCAGCATAACAAGCGGCTTTCTGTATAGTAGTATATCATTGATGTCAGTTGTGGTCTGTATACCTTGTACTTGTAGTAAATAAGAACATTATATTATGTTTTTATTATTATTATTATTATATTATAAGTGGAACCAGGACAACAGGAGTGCCGCCACAAGGAGTGTCAACGCTGTAGCGGCAAGTACTCGCCTGTGCGTGGTGGTTGGGGTCAGTTTTGGGGTCTAAGTTCCGCCAGCTGTAATGTGAAGGGGTCCTCCCTTAGTGTGAACAAGGAATAGGCTAATAAAGAGCAGTATTTGGCACTTAAATCCAGAAGCCAGGCCGGGTAGGCAAGTGTGTCTATTAGACTAGTACCACTAGAAAGTTATGGACCGGGCCGCGGGGACGTTGATCCCGGAATGCCCGCCAGGTAAACTCCATCACTCCTTTTCCTCAGTCGTCTAAACCATCTCCGCGCCTACTTTCTTCTCAGTGTTCCAATCCTTCGCTACCTACTAGTCTTCCACTACCTCCTCATGTAGACTTTACTATCCCTAGTAGTCCGTAGACACCTACCGCTTCATGTTACCAGTATACGTTTCTTCATAAATCATGACTTATTTACGGTGGAATATTCGAGGCCTCAGGGGTAATCGGGGTGAGCTTCAGGCGTTGCTCTCCCAGTTTTTCCTGGGGTTTGCAGCAGTTATCCCGGACAGCGTAGTGCGAGGGCATTTATCAGACTCAGTTCGCATTTCTACAGTTGAACAGTATTCAGTTCTTATTGCTTTGCAAGCTATTAAGAATTTTGATTCGCCTCATCCCCTAGTTCTTCATATAGAACTTTAGTCGTGCCATATTTCTAGCAAAACCAATGAAATCGTTTCAAGGTAACGAGCAGGCACACTGCTGAGCGGTCAGCAGTACGTGACCCCCCAGTTTCATATAGAGGTATTCAGTTCTCAGACTATTTTGCCGTAATCTCTAACCACCGTCATAACCATTGGGAACAACGTTGGTCCAATATGACTCATAACAAATTATATTGCATCAAGCCAAGTTTAGGTTATGGGGATTCTTATTGATTCTGAGGTTGAGAGACTACGCTCTCCCGTCTTGGCATCGGGCACACCCGTCTTAGTCATGGGTATCTCAAGAAGAGGCGCCCTGTTCCACTCTGTGAGAATTGTCAGGTTCCAATTTCAGTTTGCCATATTCTATAGGACTGTCTTGTCTTTCAACGAGCACGCAGAATTTACCCTCGACATCGTCACCGCTTTCCGCCTTGACAACCGATTTATTACACAAACTTTGATAATACTTCCTTTAGCACTTCTCACAACCCTTTCTAACTCTACTTCTGTTATCCTATTCATCCTTCCTACTCTCTGCTCTAGCAGCACCCCGTGCCCTGCAGCGCTCTATGACCCTAGTGGGTTTAGCACTTGTTTAATAATAATAATATTAATAATAATAATAATAATAATAATAATAATAATAATAATGCTTTTATCCTCTATGTCTGTCTGTCTGTCTCTCTCGTACCTGCTTGATTATATCCAAAACGTCGAAAGACGTTCCGTAGACGATAAACTGGTCAGTACTGAGGTACCCTTCTGTAGGTCCAAGGTGGCTCAGAAACCTCTTTAGATTGGTCCATATCTCGATCTGGATATAGCGGCCGCTTAACAAGTAGGCCACCTTGTCTAGTCCCTTCACTGACAAGTCAAAAAAAGCCCTGGTAAGGGTGATGGGAGCCGGCTTTTCACAGTATGAAATAAAATTATATAATAAGAACAATATTTAAAGCATTCTCAATTCTCCTTGTGGTAAATGCAAGACAAAAACACAATCTTTTGGTCTGTAACTAGGTTACCTGTTGAGGAAATTAAGACTACTCCCTCTGGTTTTTCTGCAGCAAATTGAATGAGAAGTAAATACAGAAATATCGTCCACTTTTCTCCTTGTTGCCCGTTGTTTCTACTCAACTTACCTATTTGTCCCCTGGTAAGGATGTGTATGTCCACGTGACCAGTGGTGAGTAAGACGTCGATCAGGAAGCCTCCCAGCTTAATCCCGGCCTGTGACTGATCATCGGGGACCAAAGTGGTCTTACGTTTGGCCTCGGTCTTTAAAATGGCATCTTTAGCTGGAAGGTTATATAATTTTGGTTATAGGATGTATTTTATCGTAGTTGTTACTTTGCGTTGAGTTCATACGTATGCTTACTCAGCGAGTTTAAATCTAAATTATTAACTTTCCGTGATCTATTTTTTACTTTTTTTATTAACACATCGGCCGTCTCTCACCAAGGCAGGGTGGCTCGAAAAAGAAAAACTTTCACCATCATTCTCTCCATGACTGTCTTGCCAGAGGCATGCCTACACTCTAGTTATAAAACTGCAACATTAATACCCCTCCTTCAGAGTGCAGACACTGTACATCCTATCTCCAGGACTCAAATCCGGCCCTGCCGGTTTCCCTGAATCCCTTCATCAATGTTATCTTGCTTACACTCCAACAGCACGTCAAGTCCTAAAAAACCATTTGTCTCTGTTTGCTCCTATCTAACATGCTCACGCACGCTTGCTGGAAATCCAAGCCCCTCGCACACAAAACCTCCTTTAACTCCTCCCTCCAACCTTTCCTAGACCGACCACTACCTTGCCTTCCCTCCACTACAAATTTATACACTCGACGTCATTCCATTTCGTTCCAACCTCTCTACATGTCCAAAACATCTCAATAACCCCTTCTCAACCCTCTGGATAAATGTTTTGGTAATCCCACACCTCCTCCTAATCTCCTAACTACGAATTCTCTGCATTATATTCACACCACACATTGCCCTCAGACATGACATCTCCACTGCCTCCAACCTTCTCCTTGATCAAACTTTCACCACCCATGTCTCACACCCATACAAGAGTGTTAGTATAACTATACTCTCATACATTCCCCTCCTTGCTCTCATGGATATAGTTCTTTGTCTCCACAGGCTCCTCAGTGCACCACTCACCTTTTTCCCACCGTCAATTCTATGATTCACCTCATCTTTCATAGACCCATCTGCTGACACATCCACTCCCAAATATCTGAACACATTCACCTCCTCCATACTCTCTCCCTCCAATCTGATATCCAGTCTTCCGTTAACTAATTTTTATGTTATCCTCATCACCTTACTTTTTCCTAATTTCACTTTTAATTTCCTTCTTTTGCATACCCTACCAAACTCATCGACCAACCTCTGCAACTTCCCTTCAGAATCTCTCAAAAGCACAGTGCTATCAGCAAAGAGCAACTGTGACAACTCCCACTTTGTGTTAGATTCTTTATCTCTTAGCCCCACACCTCTTGCCAACACCCGAGGATTCACTTCTCTTTCAACGCCATTTATAAATATATTGAACAACCACGGTGTCATCACACATCCTTGTCTAAGGCCTACTTTTACTGGGAAATAATCTCCATCTCTCCTACATTATCCTCGTAAAGACTCTTCACTACTTTCAATAACATACCTCCTATTCCATACATTTGCAACATCTGCCACATTGGCCCCTATCCACCCTACCATACGCCTTTTCCAAATCCATAAATGCAACAAAAACATCTTTAGCCGTATCTAAATACTGTTCACTTTTATGTTTCACTGCAAACACTTGGTCTACATACCCCCTACCCTTCCTAAAACCTCATTGTTCATCTGCTGTCCTACTCCGTCTTACTCTTAACTCTTTCAATAATAACTCTACCATACAATTTACCAGGTATACTCAACAGACTTATTCCCCTATAATTTTTACACATTCTTTTCTCCCCTTAGCCTTTATACAAAGGAACTATGCATGCTCTCTGCCAATCACTAGGTACCTTACCCTCTTCCATACATTTATTAAATAAAAACACTAACCACTCCAAAACTATATCCCCACCTGCTTTTAACATTTCTGTTTTTATCCCATCAATCCCAGCTGCTTTACCCTCTATCATTCTACCCACTGCCCCACGCACTTTCCCCACACTCACAGCTGGTTCTTCCTCACTCCTATAAGAAATTATTTCTCCTTGCCCTATACACGAAATCACAGCTTCCATTTCTTCATCAACATTCAACAATTCCTCAAAATATTCACTTCATCTTCCCGATACCTCTAACTCTCCGTTTAATAACTCTTCTCTCCTATTTTTAACTAACAAATCCATTCGTTCCCTAGGCTTTCTCAACTTATTAATCTCACTCCGAAACTTTTTCCTATTCTCAACAAAATTTGTTGATAACATTTCATCCACTCTCATTTGCTCTCTTTTCACCACTCTCTTAACCTCTCGTTTTCTCTTCATATTCTCCCTCCTTGCATCACTTCTACTTTGTAAAATACTCTCATAAGCTAACTTTTTCTCTCTTACTACTCTCTTTACATCATCATTCCACCAATAGCTCTTCTTCCCTCCTGCACCCACTTTCCTGTAACTACAAACTTCTGCTGAACACTCTGACACTATACTCTTGAACTATCCTATACATCTTCTACCCCATTGTCTATACTCACACTAGCCCATCTGCCTCTTCCTTCAGTTTATAAACCTTTACTTCTCTCTTGCTGCTTCCATTTTCCTTGTATCCCATCTACCTTTTACTCTCACTGTAGCTACAACTAAAAAGTGATCTGATATATTTGTGGCCCTTCTATAAACATGTGAATCCTGAAGTCTACCCAACAGTCTCTCATCTACCAATACGTAGCCCAACAAACTACTGTCATTACGCACTGTATCATATCTTCTATACTTATTTATCCTCTTTTTCTTAAAATATGCGTTACCTATAACCAAACCTCTTTCTATACAAAGTTAAATCAAATGCTCCTCATTATCATTTACACCTGGCACCCCAAACTTACCTACCAATCCTTCTCCAAATGCTTCTCCTACTTTAGCATTTAGGTCTCCTATCACAATTACTCTCTCACTTGGCTCAAAATTCTTACACACTCGCTTAACATCTCCCAAAATCTCTCTTTGTCCTCTACACCCCTCTCTTCTCCAGGTGCATGCACACTTATTATGACCCACTTTTCTCATCCGACCCTTATTTTAATCCACATAATCCTTGAATTTATACATTTATATTCCCTCTTCTCCTTCCATAACTTATCCTTCAACATTATTGCTACCCCTTCCCTAGCTCTAACTCTCTCAGACACTCCTGTCTTAATCCCATTTATTTCTCCCCACTGAAACTTCCCTACCCCTTTCAGCTTTGTTTCGCTTAGAGCCAGGACATTCAACTTCTTTTCGTTTATAACATTAGCAATCGTTCCTTTCTTATCATCTGCACTACATCCACGCACATTCAAATAACTCAATTTTATAAAGTTTCTCTTTTCCTTGCTTTTAGTAGTTCATACAGGAGAAGGGGTTACTAGCCCATTGCTCCCGCCATCTAGTCGCCTCCTACGACACACATAGCTTACGGAGGAAGAAGTCTGTTCCACTTCCCCATAGAGACAAGCAGAAATAAACAAGAACAAGAACTAGGAAGAAAATAGATAAAAACCCAAAGGGGTGTGTATATACGTTTTTACATGCATGTGTAATGTGACCTAAGTGTGAGTAGAAGTAGCAAGACATACCTGCAATCTTGCATGTTTATGAGACAGAAAAAGACACCAGCAATCCTACCATCACGAAAAGAAAATAGTCTTGTATTTCACACTCATTTGGTAAGACGGTAGTACCTCTCTGGGTGGTTGCTGTCTACCAACCTACTACCTTGGATAATAAGGTCTATTTATTTAATTATCAATTTAATATATTTTGATAAATTCAATATACAAAAACAGTAACTGAAAGTATTATTCAGAAAATGTTTATCCTGTGCAACATACCGTTGTTCAAGGTGTTGTACGGGCGAAACGTTGAGTGCATGAATTTACCGATTATTGTTTGTGTGTCATCAACATATAGCACCTAGGTCAATCCTACGCTGGTAAAAGAACAACTGTATCAGGTAATATATAATTACTTATTATACACTAAGATAGTACTACACATGTGATGTTCTCTCTATATAAATTTACCAGCATCGCCAAGGTTCTTAATAAATATTTAACTTACCAGAATATCCCAGTGTGCTCTCTGTATAAGCTGCTATATCTTGTTCGTTATCTTCCTGGCCACTACCAACAACATCTTTGAGTTTTCTGTTTCTCGTACAGAGATAAATGCCAGTCTTACTATTGCTTTCTTCGTGAAGTTCTTCATTTATCCCTATGAGAATAGGTTTCTCATTTTTGTGTTTAGTTGAAGAATCTTCGAAGATCCTGAGGGGGCTGTTGTATCCGGATGTGAATTCTTGTTTCTCCTTCATGAAGGCTTCTGCAGGCAGTACCGATACAATGGTTTCCTGGTACTTGCTGTCTTCTTGCTTGAGACTAGGATATAAATGTTGATTTGTCCGGTAGAATGATGAACTCATGACGATACTGGGAATCTGCTGAACAGTTGGCGATATATTCCGAGAAAGAAGCTGATTACTACATACATTTTCTGGATTGCAACTTTTATATGGATCAGGAATGCTTTCATGTGTTTCCTTTACCTCCTTCTGAGCACTTCGCGTGCATAAAGGATCATTTACCGAATGTTTTCTTATATCTAGAGGGGACTCATCAATGATTACTGATCGTTTCTGCCTTCTGTCAAAATATATCATATTTCCAGATTGCTTCTCAGTATTATCCGAAGACTTGAGATCGCTCCTTACACCCCTCACGCGGTTATCTAGAGATTCTTTGCTACCATCATGGGAAACCTGGGCAAGACTTATGGGAGTCTGGCTATTAACTAAAGCATCTGAACTTTTGGCCTCTAGCTTATGGCCGTTTTGTAGAATGTTCTTAACTTTATCCAAAGGCTTCAGAATATTACCAAAAATTTCATTGGCACTACCCGTTGGCTCGTGATTATCAGTTGCTGCTTCGAGAACTTTGACCAAAGGTTCGTGGATATTACTTAGTTTGTGATAATCTCTATGTATATGATTGTGAATTCCCTCTGGTGGCACCTCGGACCACTCTGGAGAAACCTTATCAATTTTTGAAATTTCTAGTAAACCTTCATGGCCACTTTGAAGCTCCTGTAAGCTATCCATCGAAAGCTTCTGCTGCTGCAGTTGTTGAAAGCTTTCCTTCAAACTTCCCTTGATGTGATCTAGAATTCTTTGAACCCTATCCGATTCCATATTAACGTAGCCCGCATGAGGCTGATGTAAGTTATTTCCAAGTAGCCTCACGTTACCAGAGTCCCTGTTAGCCGTAATAAGATTACTCATGATAACGAGGACCATTACACCCGCTTCAGATTTCAGAATCCGCTTCATCCTGAAAAATATGAGGCTTTAGACATTATAAAAAATATTTTTTATTATTGTTGTAGTAGTAATAGTAGTTGTTGCATTAGCAGTTGTTGCAACAGTAGTAGTAGTAGTAAAAGTAGCACTAGTAGTAGTAGTAGTAGTAGTAATAATAGAAGCGTGGTTGTTTAGTTGTTGGTGGTTTTATAGTAGTGGTTATTGTTTTGCTGTTGTTGTTTATATTGTTGCCATGTATTATTATTATTATGATTATTATTATTATTATTATTATTATTATTATTATTATTATTATTATTATTATTATTAATTATACTTATTAGAATTATCTTCATAACTTAAGTCACAATAACGAACATCATTGTCTTAATTATTTTTTTAACTCGCAACATCCTAAAAAACCCATTAAGTCTCCATTATTCATTTAATATCTCCCTTGCCAGAAGAGTGCGAAAATCCTAATTCAAATGACCCTTAGATTTACAATATAGTGGGACCTCGGTTGTCGAACTTAATTTGTTCCAGATGTCGGTTCGACAACCAAAATGGACGACAGCCAAACCAATTTTTCAGATAAAGAATAATGTAAATAGAATTAATCCGTTCCAGACCAAAAATGACAATATAATAATTTATTAATAATAATGTACTAACTATTACATAAAATAATGTATAAAATTATACAGCACATGGAAACTGTAAAAATGAGGAGAGCTTATGGGAAAATCCTGGTAGGCCTACATGTAAGAGAATGGGCCAGCATGGTCAGTCTATGCAGTATAAAAAAAATCCCGCAGCACGCAGTGCATAATGAGAAAAAAACTGCTACCATGTTTTTGACTTAAAACCGAATTTGCGGTGTATTTTCGTATGGTATTTATTGGTGTATTCTCGTTTTCCTGGTCTCATTTGATAGAATGGAAGTTATTTTACAAAACAGAGACAATGTTCAATGGTTTAAAGAATAAAAGCAACTTGCAATAGAGTTCAAAATAGCAGATATATTCGATTTTTGCCCATGTTCAAGAGTACACAAATCCCGTCACACATCCAATACACGTCAACTGGTGAGTTTAATTTGCATTCACGAATGCGCTGCTATTATTTATACAACTATTACCATTAGGAAAAATTATAAATAACAGTAAATTTATTTTTTGTGGATAAAAATTATAAATGAAAAGCAAGCGTAATATAAGAGGTGCCTGGAGACTTGACTAACGAACAGATAAAATCTTATTTTAGTACCAGCGATGTCTGTATTGTTTATGCTCGACTATATTTTAAAATTGTCCTTCCTTGAATTCTGTGTGAAATTTGCCAAATTAGTAATTTCAGATCGCTTTTTGGGCAGTTGAATAGGTAAACGGGCAGTTTCTTGTACTTAATGGATAGAATAAAACGAGTTCTAGCGAAATCGCCGATGCGTAAGTATCGCCAAGACCGCTAACTTCACGGTAGAGTAATTCCGTAAGTTTTCCATCAAATTTCGTACTTTTGGTTTCATAACCTTCACAAGATACACAGCAAGAGCTCAAGAGATGTTTACAGCTCGCACGTTAGTCGCTATACTCACTGAGACCCACGCTGGGGTCTGGTGATCACTGTGATCTGCGCATTGTCAGTCGACAACCAAGACCACGTATGAAAACCTAATCAAACAAATCCGTTTGAAACCCGAATTGTTCGACAACTAGTCCGTTCGACAACCGAGGATCCACTGTATTGCACATTTCTGAGGAAATGTTTCATGCAATTGTGGTCCACATTTTTGTAGCTCACATGACCATTTTACATTCACATTTCCACCATGCACTCAAAATTTAGACCCACATGATCGCTGGCATCTAGTGGTTCCATACAGTTGATGTCAGATAAGTCATATTCATTTCTGACAAAGCCAGCACCAGTCTTACGCTTACCTTTTCCCTCTGTCTTGGATTTTCCTTCACTTGTTGTCTCAACAATTTCTTTGTAGATGTTTCCACAAGTGTTGTTTTTCTGGTTTGTGGTACCTGATGGATGGACCAATTTTCCCTCTCCAACACTTTATTATTGAAATCTCTTAAGGGCTGAATTTGGAATTTAACTTCGGATTATCATATTCTTCCTTCCTCTGTTTCTTCTTTGTGAAAAATTGTCCTCTAATTCTGCTGTTACTCCTCGTTTTCCTCTTATTTTTGGAGGTATATTATATATAACTACATTAATACTGACGAGTCTCCGAAAGTTGTAGTTACCGTTAAATAATCCCTCAAATGCTTTGTTTTCAGGTTTCTAAGAGCGCGCGCGCGTGTGTGTGTGTGTGTGTGTGTGTGTGTGTGTGTGTGTGTGTGTGTGTGTGTGTGTGTGTGTGCGTGTGTGTGTGTGTATGTGTGTGTGTGTGTGTGTGTGTGTGTGTGTGTGTGTGTGTGTGTGTGCGTGTGTGTGTGTGTGTGTGTGTGTGTGTGTGTGTGTGTGTGTGTGTGCGTGTGTGTGTGCGTGTGTGTATTCACCTAGTTGTATTCACCTAGTTGTGGTTGCAGGGGTCGATTCATAGCTTCTGGCCCTGCCTTCGAGTTACTCACTCCCTGCTCTGTAAATCTGATCATACCTCTTCTTAAAGCTATGTATAGATCCTGCCTCCACTACATCATTTCCCAGACTATTCCACTTCCTGACAACTCTGTGACTGAAGAAATACTTCCTAACATCCCTGTGATTCATTTGATTCTTCAGCTTCCAATTGTGACCCCTTCTTGTTGTGTCCCATCTCTGGAACATCCTGTCTCTGTCCTCCTTGTCACTTCCTCTCAGTATTTTGTATGTCGTTATCATATCCGCTCTATCTCTCCTGTCCTCCTGTCCACATGGTAGCGATGCCATCCAAATTCAACAAAGAACTCAAAAACCCAACTCTGCTACTTCTTTCTACACTGACTCGAATGGTGTTCACTATGAAAGAAATACAAATGAGAGACAGGCACGGCTTTACCCATTAGAAGTAGCGAACACAAACATACAACTGAGATAATCTCAGCAACGCAAGAATCCCTCACAGGACCACAAACATCAATTTACTTAATTCAACTAAAGCTGAAATGATCATCAAGGAAACTAATTTTTACAGATGTTATTTCTTTGAAGTCGTCCTAAATGTTATGCAAAAACTAAGAGGAAATTATAATATCACTGAGACAAGTTTCGTCTCGCCCATAACCTCTTGATATAGTTTTAAGCTTCACTTCTTCTTCTTAGGGTCTTCCCCGAGAATAAATGTTCATATTTTTCTTACACTTATGTACATTAAAAAAATGGCTAAGATCGTAAAACTAAAACGTTTCCATTAAATATGTCTAAAAGTGATTTACCTTGTGTGACCTTATCCGCTAACCTAACCTAACGTAACCTATTAAGTTGGTATAATCTAATCAAGCTTGCCTGACCTAACATATTCCAGCCTATAAGTATATAAGTATATAAGTATATAAGTTAATAAGAGGGTCAAAAAACACAAGTTTTCTTTGATAGGCCATAATGAAGCTTGAGAAATTTGTTGAAGAATAGTCGAGGCATAGGTTTAATAAAGTGACTGAGCAGAGACATTTTGGATTTTGTTGAGACGGACGACTGATGAGAGATCATTGAAGGATAATTATGATTTGTTAGGAACTAAGATCCATGGAAAGGATACAGAGTACCTTTGTAATCAGTGTTTAATACTGAACTGCTCACCTTCTGCAGACCTTGTGTTTCCTTTTTTCCCCGGTGTAAGCGCGGTCTTCCCTGAAACCTGAATCAATGACCCAGTACACGGCGCTTGAAGGACACCAGCAGCTGCTACTCTGAACCTCAAAAACCCCGACTTGACGGTTCCAGCGATGACTCTGCAATGCCTTGGGAAAGTTGCTTACTTCGTCTTTTATATACACATAAACACGCAATACCTCTATCAAACGCGGCCACTCGATAATCGATTCCCCCATTTACCAATCCAAACACTCCATCGACATCCACATAACCTGTGTCTTACTCATTCTCGTCGCCATTCTAGTCGTCATGCACAACCACCATGTAAATATATTTTTTTATAAATTTTCTGTGATTCATTCAACCCATCTCCTTAGAAGGGATTTGTTTAAATAACGATAACGACTTAATTATGAGGACAATTAGAAAAGATAAAGCGTAGTATGAAACAGCACGTCAGTCTTCATGCAGGACGAGACATTAATCTGTGGCGACCGACAAAGATATGCAATAATCAATATGACATCCCTGCTGAGAGGTATAAAAATGCAGTTAGTAATAATTAAGAGATACATGAGAGCCTATCGCGAGCAGCCACTATCGATTACATCCACCTTATTCTGTTTGTTTTTGGAAGATTAAAAGTAAAATAAAACATATATCCACAAACGCATAAAATACTCACACACAAACACACATACACATATTCTCGCACACACACACACACACACATACACACACCAAAGCGGGGCCAGGAGCTATGAATCGACCCTTGCAACCACAGATAGGGCCCTATCAGTCCACCAAGGCCGGGGAATGTAAGGGGAGAGCTGTTAGCAGCAGGGATAGCAGTAAGTGAGGAGGGGAAAAGGTAGAGAAGGTGACAGGCCCCATGCAGAGGCACGACCATGTTACCAAGCGTTACAGATTGTGAGTGGCTTCAGTCACAAAGAAACTGACTGGGAGAACTTGGAGCCACATGGGGGCCCAGAAACTCGGAGGGCTAACATGACTGAGGTGGTACTAGAAAACCTCATGTACCAACACATAAAGGACACTATCAGAGAGAGAGGAGAGAATGAACCAGCAAGACTGGACCTAATATTCACCTTGAGCAGTGCAGATATTGATGACATCACAAGTGGAGAGGGAAGCAGGAAGGGCAGGACGAACGAAGCCAAACTACAAGAGAGGGGACTACAGAGGCCTGAAGAATTTCCTGCGCGAGGTTCAGTGAGACAGAGCACTGGCAGGGAAGTCAGTAAATGAGATAATGGAATATGTGACTACAATTTGCAAGCTGAGGAGAGGTTTGTACCTAAGGGAAACACAAATAACACATATTCTATAGTAAATTTTCCATTCTTGTGATCATTCGGAGACTTATTTAATCTTGCTTTACTGGACAATATGACTTAAACAGAAGAAAACAGAAGGACTTTCAAAGCTTCTGAGGCTGTGGTAAGACACAAAGAGGTCACAACTGTGGTAAGGCACAGAGAGGTCACAACTGTGGTAAGACACAATGGGGTCACAACTGTGGTAAGAGACAATGGGGTCACAACTGTAGTAAGAGGTAAAGAGGTCACAACTGTGGTAAGAGACAAAGGTCACAACTGCGGTAAGAGGCAAAGAGGTCACAACTGTGGTAAGAGACAGTGAGGTCACAATTGTGGTAAGAGGCAATAGGGTCACAACTGTTGTAAGAGACAAATAGGTCACAACTGTAGTAAGAGACAGTTTGGTCCCAGCTGTGGTATGGCACAATGGGGTCACAACTGTGGTAAGAGACAAAGAGGACACAACTGTAGCAAGAGGCAAAGAGGCCACAACTGTGGTAAGAGACAAAGGTCACAACTGCGGTAAGAGATAGTGGGGTCACTATTGTAGCAAGAGGCAATAGGGTCATAACTGTTGTAAGAGACAAATAGGTGGTAAGAGACAGTGGGGTCCCAGCTGTGGTATGGCACAATGAGGTCACAATTGTGGTAAGAGACAAAGAGGACACAACTGTGGTAAGAGGCAAAGAGGTCACAACTGTGGTAAGAGACAGAGAGGTCACAACTGTGGTAAGAGACAGTGGGGTCACAATTGTGGTAAGAGGCAATAGGGTCACAACTGTTGTAAGAGACAAATAGGTCGCAACTGTGGTAAGAGACAGTGGGTCCCAGTTGTGGTATGGCACAATGGAGTCACAACTGTGGTAAGAGAGAAAGAGAACAACTGTGGTAAGAGGCAAAGAGGTCACAACTGTGGTAAGAGACAAAGAGGTCACAATTGTGGTAAGAGACAGAGAGGTCACAACTGTGGTAAGAGACAGTGGGGTCACAATTGTGATAAGAGGCAATAGGGCCACAGCTATGGTAAGAGACAGAGAGGTCACAACTGCGGTAAGAGACAGTGGGGTCACAATTGTGGTAAGGGGCAATAGGGTCACAACTGTTGTAAGAGACAAATAGGTCGCAACTGTGGTAAGAGACAGTGGGTCCCAGTTGTGGTATGGCACAATGGAGTCACAACTGTGGTAAGAGACAAAGAGAACACAACTGTGGTAAGAGGCAAAGAGGTCACAACTGTGGTAAGAGACAAAGAGGTCACAATTGTGGTAAGAGACAGAGAGGTCACAACTGCGGTAAGAGACACTGGGGTCACAATTGTGGTAAGAGGTAATAGGGTCACAACTGTGGTAAGAAACAGAGAGGTCACAACTGTGGCAAGAGACAGTGGGGTCACAATTGTTGTAAGAGGCAATAGGGTCACAACTGTTGTAAGAGACAAATAGGTGGTAAGAGACAGTGGGGTCCCAGCTGTGGTATGGCACAATGGGGTCACAACTGTGGTAAGAGACAAAGAGGACACAACTGTGGTAAGAGGCAAAAAGGTCACAACTGTGGTAAGAGACAGAGAGGTCACAACTGTGGTAAGAGACAGTGGGGCAACAATTGTGGTAAGAGGCAATAGGGTCACAACTGTTGTAAAAGACAAATAGGTCACAACTGTGGTAAGAGACAGTGGGATCCCAGCTGTGGTATGGCACAATGGGGTCACAACTGTGGTAAGAGACAAAAAGAACACAACTGTGGTAAGAGCAAAGAGGTCACAACTGTGGTAAGAGACAAAGAGGTCACAACTGTGGTAAGAGACAGAGAGGTCACAACTGTGGTAAGAGACAGTGGGGTCACAATTGTGATAAGAGGCAATAGGGTCACAACTGTGGTAAGAGACAGAGAGGTCACAACTGTGGTAAGAGACAGTGGGGTCACAATTGTGGTAAGAGGCAATAGGGTCACAACTGTGGTAAGAGACAGAGAGGTCACAGCTGTGGTAAGAGACAGTGGGGTCACAATTGTGGAGAGGCAATAGGGTCACAACTGTTGTAAGAGACAAATGGGTCACAACTGTGATAAGAGACAGTGGGGTCCCAGCTGTGGTATGGCACAATGGGGTCACAAATGTGGTAAGAGACAACGAGAGCACAACTGTGGTAAGAGGCAAAGAGGTCACAACTGTGGTAAGAGACAAAGAAGTCACAACTGTGGTAAGAGACAGAGAGGTCACAACTGTGATAGGAGACAATGGGGTCACAATTGTGGTAAGAGGCAATAGGGTCACAACTGTTGTAAGAGACAAATAAGTCACAACTGTGGTAAGAGACAGTGAGGTCCCACCTGTGGTATGGCACAATGGAGTCACAACTGTGGTATGAGACAAAGAGAACACTACTGTGGTAAGAGGCAATGAGGTCACAACTGTGGTAAGAGACAAAGAGGTCACAACTGTGGTAAGAGACAGAGAGGTCACAACTGTGGTATGAGACAGTGGGGTCACAATTGTTGTAAGAGGCAATAGGGTCACAACTGTTGTAAGAGATAAATAGGTCACAACTGTGGTAAGAGACAAAGAGGTCATAACTGTGCTAAGAGACAAAGAGATCACAACCATGGCAAGAGATAGTTTGGTCACATTTGTGGTAAGAGGCAATGAGGTCACAACTGTTGTAAGAGACATATAGGTCGCAACTGTGGTAAGAGACAGTGGGGTCCCAACTGTGATATGACACAATGGGGTTACAACTGTGGTAAGAGACAAGAGGTCACAACTGTGGTAAGAGACAAAGAGATCACAACTGTGGTAAGAGACAAAGAGGTCACAACTGTGGTAAGAGACAATAGGGGTCATAACTGTGGTAAACAGTGGGGTCCCAACTGTGATATAGCACAATGGGGACACATCTGTCGAAAGAGACAATAGGAGCCACAACTGTTGTAAGAGACAGAAAGGTCACATCTGTGGCAAGAGACAGAGAGGTCACATTTGTGGTCACAGCTTTGGTAAGAGACAGTAGGGTCACAGTTGTTGCAAGAGACAGTGGGGTCATAGCTGTGCAAAAGAGACAGAGAGGTTACAGCTGTGATAAGAGACAGCGGGATCACAGCTGTGGTAAGAGACATTGGGGTCACATCTGTGGCAAGAGACAGTGGGGTCTCTGCTGTTGAAAGAGCCAATGGGGTCACAGCTGTGGCAAGAGACAGATGGTTCACAGCTGTGGCAAGAGACAGAGAGATCACAATGTGGTAAGAGACAGTGAGATCACAGCTTTGGTTAAAGACAGTAGCAACAGACAGTGGTGTCACGGCTGTTGCAACAGACAGTAGGATCACAGCTGTGGTAAGAGACAGAGAGGCCACAGTTGTGGAAAGAGACAGAGAGATCAAAACTATGACAAGAGACAGTGGGGTCACAGCTTTGGTAAGAGACATTGAGGTCACAGTTGTGGGAAGAGACAGAGGTCACAGCTGTGGCAATACAACGGGATCACAGTTGTGGCAAGAGACAGAGGGGAAACATTTGTGGCAAGAGACAGTGGGGTCACAGCAGTGGCAAGAGACAATGGGGTCACAGATTTGTCAAGAGACAGTGGGGTCACAGCAATTACATCTAAACTGTCATATCTGAGTGCCTCTGCAAAGACAGTAATTATATGTGAATTATGGTGAAAGTGTTTCTTTATGGGCCATAGATTTCGCCTGATCTGCGGATTCTAAACGTTGTAAAAATCTCTCGTCAGTCGATACATGCAGAGGATAAGATGAGATAGCTAACACCACCTGCCTGAATGCTGGCTGCCTTGGATCAAAACGTCTAGCATTGGCTGGGCGCCAAGGTCTAGTGTGCTACTGTGGTTAGAGCACTGCGCACCTTAGCCCAAGGTTCATAGGTTCGAGTCCCGTTCGAC